ATGAAAAGGGTTTAGGACACATGTTTCAAAAATAGTTTAGTTGTTCTCCAATTTCTTTTTTTTTTTGCGTCGCCACAAGCCAAAAATGATTTTTGGCCAGACCACCTCTGTGGACAGCGACGAAAGTGTACATTTCAAAGATTTTGTCCCGCGCGTAGCGACTGCAACAATGTAGTTCACGGAATTCTGTCACGCTACAAGTTACAAGATGTATTCAGTTAGTTCACAGACAAAATATGAAAACTTCAGCTGAAATATTTTTCATACCAGCGAGATCAGAGGAAACCCTTCTCCTCGACCTTAATTTGCATATCAAAAATTCACTACTTTGTACGAGAGAATTCTCAAAATGCAGGCGTTAATCGGGCTGAAAAAGTATATCAGTGCATACTTCATACACCAATGAGGTCACGGATGGCCTTAAACCCGCGGGTATATCTCTAGCTTCCATCCACCATGATCTTCTTAAAAACAACGCAAATTTATGTGTTTGCTCAATTGCGCTCGTGTCAAAGATCATTTGCATGATTCTGAAAATGAACCAAGATCTCCTTTTGACCGTTCAAACTTCGTTCGTTCATTTTCTACGTTGAGGATTTTAGGTTTTCATAGCAACTGAATGGAGATTAGATGCCGAGTTGTCCTACAAAACGTTGCGTAAACGTGATCGGCTTGCGCGCTTTCGTGACTTACAAAGTAGACAAAGGTGATCGGAAGGCGCTTTCTCGATAATTTACGTAGAAATATCAGGTCTTGAACAACGCACAGTGTGGAGAAGATCAAAATTAAAGAACGGAATTTGGCACTCTGGTCACAACGGACATATCGTGTTGCTTAAAAGGACACAAAAACAAGTTAAAACAGGTTAGAGTGTTTATATTTACATAACAACACGCATACACTCTGAAACAATTCTTGCAGTTTCTCCCGAGATTTAGTTCACAGAACCCGATGAACTAACCCTCCTTTCTGCAAATTGGTTTCTGTCATTAATAATGTTACGCTCTTATGGACCACAACGGTTTTGAGCGACAAACTCGACATTTCCCTGCGACCATCAAAATCGATCAACTTGACAAACCCGGCTTGATATATTGCGTGACGTGATTGTGCAAATTTTGGCCATTTGGCCTGTTTCGCGAGTTCTACAAATTGAAACCAAAATTAGTTGGTATAACGAATAAGAATCGAAATTTATTAAAATGGACCGAAGAATTTTACATTTTAGTGAGAATTTTAACTTTTAACTATTTTTGAAATATGTGTCCTAAACCCTTTTCATGGGCAAAAAATAAAAGAGAACTTTTTTCCGACGGGAAGTCGAGAGAACCGCTCTTAGCGAGAGCGGCAATTAAGAGAGCTTCTTCCTGGCTGAATATGTGAAAACATGGTTTTAAGCCGCGAAAAATAATGACAATGGAATCGTGGAAAAAAGAGCCAGCGAATGAAACAAATCGCTTGAAAGTTTCTAAAACGAAAAATGATTGAAAATACGAGTTAAATAGCCTAAAAGGGATGATAGCTACACTCGACAGGTAATGAGATGTACAAGTCAGAATATGAGAGGTCCATAACAAAAGCAGACGTCCGTATAAAGCGCCAAGTTTTACTGAAGAGGAAGAGGAGGTGCTATGGAAGGCAGAAACTTTTGGTTCTAAAACTCCACACGCTCTTATTTCTTCTATGTGGTGGCTTTAAATGCTATCTTTTGGTTACCGTGGCCGTCAAAAGCATCATGGAATAAAATAAGATGATTCAACTATGAAAAACTGACGAAGGCGTGGAGTTCGTGCCATTTACAGAAGGTCCAAAAAAGACGAGACAGGGCGGGCTTTAGAGTAAGAACATAGATTTCCAGCCTGATTGAAAAAGGTTTCCGGTAGCTCTCTTCAAGCGGTTTGTCTAGCGAGGACCTCTAAATATGCAATGGCTGGGTATTTTCTACCTCAGTGTCTAACGGAACCGAAATTTCAATGACAATGTCCGCTTTAAAAGCCAACCGTTGAGCGTAAATACAGCAATGATGCAACGTGATGAAAACAATTGGGGTGGGTAGTAGCCTTCAACAAAGGATTGAAAAGGTCGCGAATCACAGTGCAGGAGCCGGCCCATTATGAGCAGCATCGAAGGAAAACCAATTTCTACTTTTACATTCGGGTTTGAAGTCTCTGCGAATGCGGTCACATCTATAACGAGATATTAAGAAGAACAGACCATAATGAAGACACTTAAAAACTGACAAGTTTCTCTCATGCTTGGCCGCTCAAAGCGCGCACCTAGGATTTGAAAGCGACGGTCCAGTTCTAACAGATACTAAGCTTTAATAGTCGAGTTTAAATCTGATAGACCAGTACAAGCCAGGCACTTTTGCTGATCACTTCACAATGAATTTTCTTCAGAACGTTTTTGAATGGTTTAAAATCAATCTGCACAC